ATGTAGCTGCCAAAGGAAATGCAGGGAACTGAAGTTTGTTTTTCTGCCTCACATACCTTTGGAGTGGTTGCTCATTGCGTTTTCCGTGATGACGCTGAGGCTGGTGTTAAGCACTAACTCTATTTCAAATTTTTAGAGATTTAGAATTGAATCCATCATTACTTGTCGTGAATTTCATTTGAAACCTAGCCTGATTAACTAATTTTGCTGTCAAAATGCAGCATTCGGAGAAAGTAAAATCTAATAATTCTGTAAAAGGTAAATAAAAGAGGTATTGTTAGTCCTGGAAATAGTGTTTTTAATACTGTTGTGGTTTATTGGACCAATACAGTTCTATGTATTCAAAAATAGTTACCTTATTACCGAGTGTGAGTGTCCGCAAAAATGTTTCGAAGTTTAATACCTCGATATAATCATGTGCAACGATAGCAGCTAGGATCATTATTTAAATGTGTGGATAGTACCGTTCTCTTACACTTCCAAATGGTTATAGACCTTAGTTTAAAATAAATTTCGATCATCTTCAAGATCTACTTAATTTTGCTGCGATTCGGTGTATACTGCGGATGGCTATTCCTACAAGTGGCATGGAAGTCGTTTGAATTAACTGCAGATGCGTTGGATACAACGAATGCAAAAAATGTTTTGATCAGGAAGAAATCACTACATGCTCGAGTTGTCCAGTCTGATGGACGTACGAAAGAAGTTCTGAGGCAGTTGAATGTTGTTCGATACTGTTTACCTGAGGGCTCATCGGTTGCTCAGTTTTTAACTTTTGAAATTCAGCATAGAAGGCAAAGCGTGGTCGACGGCTAGCATGTCACATAGCTGAAGTAATTGAGCATCGGCTTATTGCCACCGAAACTTTCCTTCGACGCAGTAAGCAAGTCTTGTTTTCAAAATGCCCAGTAAGCCCTTAGATATTTAGTTGAGTAAACGTCACGAATCATTTGTAGCCTTTATTCCTGCTATGTAACTAAGATATTGGCGACAGAAAAGTTATATCAGCCCACTGATATTATTTCCACTCGATTTGAATCTGCTGTTATTCAGCACTTGAAGATTAACGGGATTAGTTGAAATACTTTCATTAACAACATCTGATAAGGAAACATGGGAAGCTACATTAGCTATATTCTGTTATTGCATCGACGATGAATTATTGCCTAAGCTGTACTCGGGTATTAGCTACTTTGTTTTTCTCCTGTTAATAGGATAGATTCATTCTTATCCCGTTCTTATATCTTTTAGTTCCTTGTATTTGTCGAGTTTTGCTTTACTTTTTACTACGCGTACTTTAGCTTTGTAACTTCTAACTTCCCCTTTAGGACATTGCGTTCAAAATTGTCAACCGTGAATGGGAAGTGTCGCACAAGAAAGGATATCGCTGTCAGTTCCAGAACGGCATATTTCAGTTATGGTTTCATTTCAAAAAATATCGATATCGCCGATGACTTTTTTTGCTTGTGGACGGAATTCATTTAATCTATTGCGTTTTATTTGCTAGTATAAATAAAGTTTTCTTCGCGTCTTGTTTTACCGTTGCTCCCTAGCGCGTTTACCCGCTATGTTGTTTTTCTGCATTTTTCCGTAGCATGTCTTTGTCTTTTTCGAAGCTATTCTTCTTTGAAGCTATCTCTTTCTTTCCATTTGCGATGGTAATTATTCCGGATTTTTCATGCTTTTGAAGCTATATGCCCGGAGTTATCAGTCTGGCCATCGGACCGTAGGTTTGATACTGCTCCATCAGCCGTCTGCCTTATGATAAAGCAACGATAGTACTTTGCTTGCCTCGTATACGGCTCGGCTGTAAATTAAATCAAAAATTTTTGACCATATGATCTTGGCGTTTCGCTACAACCGTCCATCATGTACGAAATTAATTCATTTTCAGAACTAGTTGCGTCAAAGCAACTGCAAAAAAACACCATTTTCGGCTCAGAAATTTTCAATCTACAGTCTTTACGGAACAGATTTAATTTGATAACAGTCGCATTGTGTATAATACAGTCTGCGAATTCTCCCAAGCCTTTCTGTAGAAATTGAGGCTTTTGCTGTTTATGCTCCTTAGCTGTCTGCATTGTCCGGATATCTCGTACGTAATTTCAGCTGAATTCTCAGCGATGCAGCTTATCCGATAAAGCATATATTCCATCTGCATTTCCTCTGTTTTGTTCATATTGCAAACTGACTCTGAAAAACGAGTACCGTTTTCGCTTACTGCGATAAGCTGAGTTGAAGTGAAAAGTTTATGATCAGTCGCAGTTTCGAAATTTTAAGTCGAACGTATTTGTGGAAATTCCTGCATCTTCTGAAGATGCCTGTTCTTGAAAGATAATGTGGTAGATCTCTGTGGTTCTGCCGATTAATCCTCGTGATAAAGTTGTTGTTTTCGGTTAGGACGACCTTTGTGCGGTGTAGTAACAGAGGTACAATCTTGTTGCTATGAGAAAGGATTTCCATTCTTAGCCCGAATGGTGGACAGCGTTCGAAAAGCACTGGAGTAAAGAACGATCCTCATACTAAACTTTAACTGGCTGGTACATCATTCGCAATGATGAAGTCGAGGTACTTTAGCTTCTGAGCGTTAAGAAAGGGTTTCGCAGCTGTGTTGTATGCAGAGTCAACCAAGTTGGAAAATCCGCTTATACTACTTATCAGGACAATATTCTGAAAAAAATCAGTCACGGTTTAGTTATATAAAGCACCAAAAATACTGTGGTCAATCCAGTGACTGACCAATACAGACATTTCGGCCCGTGTTTTACGGACCTTCTTCAAGGTAGGTTGGTTGTGAAGTTTCATGATTGGTTGGTGGTCCTTAGCTGTCGATAATTTCGGAACCAGAAGGCAAGCTTTCGGTCTGTGCTGCTGGTTAAATAGGTTTTGACGACTGAAACGGTGAGGCTCATGCAGTCTGCGTAGAATTCGTATCCTTCGTCACGGTTGACGTCGCGGAAAAGGATTATTAATACCTTTTTTATTCACCTGTGTAGCCAGTGTCTTTGATGATGCCAGTACACTCAGACCATCAGAAGGAGTATTTTTACTTGGCTGCATGCGGCGCAATTTCAGATCTCGCATTGTTTCTTGACTTTTCTGGGGTCGAGGCTTTTGCTTTTTTCCTGTGCTTTATTACCACTTGTCGCTCACTTTCGTTCTCCATCATCCATCTTCGGAACAATATCCTACGTGCTGTCCAGTTTAGCAAGATAACTGATTGGTTATGATG